AAGACAACAAGGTGCAGGGCTGGATGAACACAGCAGGCCAATCTGCTCCTATGATGCTGCTTGGCCTGCTGTGTTCATCCAGCCCTGCACCTTGTTGTCTTGGTAATAGTATGTTCATTTTCCTCATTCAAGTCATTACTATATATTGTAAATAATTGTGGCCCCAGCATTGATTCCTGTGCCGTGCTGAAAATATCCCATTATCCCAACTCTCTGTAGCCTATGAGTTAGTGAATCCTCTGTTGATGCTAATATACCACCCTCCCAACACCATGGGCTTTTATCAAGTAGCCTAATGTGTGGTACCTTGTCAGACATCTTCTGAAAATCCAAATGCTCTACATCCACTGCTTCCCCTTTATCTATCCTGCTTTTTACCTCAAAGAATTCTAGTAAATTTGTCAGGAATGGTTTCCCCCTTCATGATGCCATGCTGACTCTGTTTGATCATACTTTGTGTTTCTAAATGCTCTGCTATTACATCCTTTATAATAGACTCCAACATTTCCATAAATAACAAATGTTAAATTAACCTACCTATGTTACCTGTTTTTGACTCCTGTTTTGAAATAAAGGTGTTACATCGGCAGTTTTCCAATCCACTGGGACTTTCTCCAAACCCAAGAATTCCTGGCAGACTACTACCAGTGCATGCACTATCTGTAGCTACTTCCTTCAATATCTTTGACATGAGGTCCCTTTTAAGTATTTTTAACTTTCAATGAGATCCTTCTCTTTCTTTGAAACTCTAGAGAATATAAGCTCAGTCTCTCTCCGTAGGTCAGCCGTGCCACCCTGGGAATAAATGTGCCATATCATTACTGTTGTGGGAGCACATTTCTTGAGATAAGGGCACCAAAACCGTACACTGTCCTCCAAGTGCGGTCTAACAAAGCTCCTGTACAATTAAAGAAAGACTTCATGACTTATGTGCAAACATTTCCTTCTCTTCCCATTAGTCACTTGATTTAATATTTTTGGAATGCGGTTAATATCTTCTACTGTGAAGACTGATGCAAACTATTTATTCAACTTTTGGGCTGTTTCTTAGTTCCCCATTATTTCCTCAGCCTCGATCTCTAAGGGACCTGTGTTCACTTTACTCACACTCTCTGTTTTTATGTATTTAAAGAAGCCTTCACTGTCCATTTTTATATTACTTGCCACTTTAAACTCATAATATATTTTCTCCCTCATTATTTTCTTTTGGTTACCCCTTGTTGCCGTTTGAAACTTTCCCAATTGTCTGCCTATCAATAATTTTGGCCATGTTTATAGTTTTCTTTCAATTTAATATGACCCTTAATTTCCTTGGTTAACTATGGTTGGTTTGCCCCCTTCCTAGAATCCTTCTTCCTTTCTAGGATATATCTTTGTTGTGAGTCATGAGCTATTTTCTTAAAATCTGCCATTATTTATAAGCTGTCTTTACTGTTAAGCCCCTTGTCTCTCGTTGGCTGCATATTCACCAGATCCATGATCGCCTGATCTCTGGTTGGATCCACAACATTATTGTTCCAGAAAACTATCCCAAATACACTTTATTAATAGTTCCTCCTATGGCTACCTGTGCCAATTTGATTCTCCCAAACTACATGAAGTCACCTATAATTAATGTACAGCCTTTTCTCATGCCGTCATTACCTTGTGATTTACTCTCTATTTTACAGAACAGCCATTGCTGGGGGAGGGTGCGATAGACAGCTCTCACCAACGTCTCCTTCCCATTGACATTTCTTACCTCCACCAAATGGATTTTACATCTTCCGATTCAGATCATTTCTTGCTAACGTCCTAACAGCTTCCCCATCGCCTTTCTCTTCTTGCCTTTGCCCTCAAAAAGTCATAAACCCCGGAATATTTAGTTCACAGCTTTGATCTCCTTAAAACAAAGTCCCTGTAATGGCTATAAGATCATACCTATTAAGAATTCAAGAACTTTAGAATCATACCCATTAACTTGTATTTGTGCTGTTAACTAATTTACTTTGTTCCGACTACATGCGTTTGAGTAAAGAGCCATTATTTTTGCCTCTCTCATTTTTTCACCTCCTTTGAGCCTATTTACTGCTGTTTTCTCGATGTTTGTGTACTCTGTTCCTTCCTGTCTCACTCTAGGTATAATGATCTAATTAGCTGCCATGTAATACTGTCATATCTGAATGCTCTGTAAACCCACATTCCCTCTATCCCCTCAAACTCCACTTCCCCCATCCCCCCCCACACCACCACCACCAATTAGGTTAAAGCCCTAGTTACTCACTTTGCCAGCACACTGGCTTCAACATGGTTGAAGTGAAGCCCCTCTGACAGGAGGGGTAACCCTCCTACTTCAGCACTGCTGCCTGTGACCTGGTGAACTGAAACCCATTCCATCCAGGTCAGTCTTTGAGCCATGTTTTTAACTCCTTGACTTTTATTTGCCCTAAGCCATTTGCCTACAGCTCAGATTTTAATCTAGAGATGATTACCTTGGAAGATCTGCTTTATAGTTTGGCTCCTAACTATTCAAAACCTTTCATCAGAACCTCTTTCCTAAACCTCACTTTTTGCCGCGCTGTCGGAGGGTCAGCGCTGAGGGAGCGCCGCGCTGTCGGAGGGTCAGTGCTGAGGGAGCGCCGCACTGTCGGAGGGTCAGTGCTGAGGGAGAGCCGCACTGTCGGAGGGTCAGTGCTGAGGGAGTGCCGCACTGTCGGAGGGTTGCTCAGCGCTGAGGGAGCGCCGCACTGTTGGAGGGTCAGTATTATAATAAACACAAAAATAGAGCTGGGCCACAATCAGCTCAGCCATGATCTTCTCAAATGCTACATCAGATCTAAGGGGCTGAATGGCCTCCTCGTTTTAGTTCAGCAGGGATGGAGTTAGTTTGAGCTTTAGAATGTGACCTGAGAGAGACTCAGCAACCCCTTTGTGTGGTTTTTGTTGGTTTTCTGTTGGGTGCGCTGTGGTTGATGTCAGTGTTTAGTATTTCTCTGGTTGGGTTGCAGTGCGGGAGCTGAGGCTGGAGCAGAATCATTAACTTTGCTGGAATTGCTGGAGAGAGAGTCCGGATCAGCCTTCTACCAGGAAGCTGTTAGTTACTCGCTGCTGAAAGTGTCTGAGGCTGGGCTGGTCACTGCTGCTGAGAAGCTGCTGCTGCGTGGAGCTGACCTCAACTTCGAAGGTTCGTATCGTCTGAGAGAGTGGGATGGCTTGATTATTCCCTGTGGTACCAAGGTCCCCATTCGCCTCCGTCTCAGCGTAAAGGCATTGCTCCTGAATTCCCCGATTGTATATTAGGGACAGACTTATCGATCCCTTATTCTGTTCTCAGCCACAAATGGAAAGATTTTCTGGATATTTGCCTTAATGAATTTTTTTGTTATTTTAAAGATCTCTGTCAGTCTCCCTCAGCCTCTCTCTTCCAGCGAAAAATATCCCAGACTGTCCAGTCTCGCCTGACACGCTGTCAGCTGTTTCTTAACCCTTCCGTCACTCCAACTAAAGCACTACCCCCTACTCCAACATGGCCAAGGAGGAGATGAAGCCTATCCCGTAACTGTATCTAGTTGCTGGGTATGTGGGCTGAACTGTGCATTGTTGACTGGTTCTGTCTAGTTGCTAAGGTTTCTCTGGCAGTGATATGAATGTCTTTTGTCTTTTGCACAGATCCTGTCACGTATTACACACCTCTGCATGTAGCAGTCCTACATAACCAGCCTGATGTGGTGGAACTGCTGGTCCGGCATGGAGCAGACGTCAACAAGAGGGACCGAGTAAGGAAGGCATTAGGAACTTCCCCGTGTTACAGCTGCATTACTGCATGTGCTCACTTTCCTACTGTAGAGACTGCATGTGCCAGGCAGGCAGTCCCAGGGAGTACAGCTTTCGCTGAAACTGAAACAGTGTAACGCCCTACTTGAGAGAGTGCACTGATTCTCAAGCCCCACTACTCTCAGCATTGCTGCAAAGTTAAAAATGTAATCAAAGGTACCAATTTACCTGTCTGGTGGAATCAGGTTGACAGAAAACACTGACTGGGTTCCTGTACTTAACGAGAATCATTATTTATCACAAACACATCATTCTGATCACACATAAACCGCTATGAATTATATGGCTCTACTCGTTTGAACTCTAGCCCCCTTTAAACCCCTTACACACACACATACAGACAGACACAAACAAGCACAAAGAGTGGTGTTATGTATGTTGGGGAGAAAAAGAAATGGGGAGACACAGTTCAGCAGCACCAGATTGCAGACTTCAACAAGATGTTCTTTTTTCTTCCCAGGACTTTCCATTCTCTGAAGTCTTTCTGTTTCCCAGATCATTGCCGAAGACACTGGGTATACACATTAATGTTCCATTTCACAGACACGGGGCATATACACAATTACGTTCCATTTCACAAGCACTGGTTAGAGCCCACAGAAAGTGGTGGGAGCAAGTAACTGACTGTCTTTGGGCTTGAGTTACTTTGCTGCAGAGAGAGAGAGATGGAGACAGACCCTGCCTCTTCCAGTCTGGGAAGCATTCTGTCCCTATGCCAGTCAAATGCCACACAAGCTGGTCTGCTACCCAGGAACCAATCTGAGATTGTCAACAGGCTTATGGCCTTTGATATCCGCAACTGTTCACAATTACCCTGCAAACACCCCCTGGTGCCATAGTGTCTTATGTACTCTACCTCACTGTTTACACAGCAACTGTGTAAACACGACTCACAATGAGCTCTGGTAACTTGCTTCTAAAAGTGCAGCAGTTCCTTCCACAGTCCCACTAGATGGAAGTTCCTGTGGGATTGGATAGTGCTGCCTGAGGAGCCTTTGGTGAATTTCTGCAATGCAACTCAAATATTCAATGGACAGTTCTCTCCTGAGCTTCTAGAGTGTTGTTGGGGCTGCACCCATCCAGGCAAGTGGGGAGTATTCCATCACACTCCTGACTTGTGCCTTCTAGATGGTGGGACAGACTTTGAGGAGTCAGGAGACGAGTTATTCACTGCAGGATTCCCAGCCCCTGTGTGTGTATGTTGCAAGTCCAGTTGAGTTTCTGATCAGTTGTAACCCCTCAGGATGTTGATAGTGAGGGATTCAGTGATGGGGAATGCTGTTGAATGTCAAGGTCTTCCCTTGTGCTGATTATGTCCAGTTTCCTACATTGCCACAGTAACTATGCTTCTGTGTCTTTCGCTGGCTGTAGAGTGCCTGGGAAGGTGCACATTGTGTAAAAGGTGATGTAGAAATGCAGGGTGACAATCTAACGATGCCTATTTCACTCCGGTACAGGTTCACAGCAGCAGCCCGTTGGACCTGGCGAGTGAAGAGGTCGAACGTTTACCGTGTCTACAACGTCTCCTGGACCTTGGTGCGAATGTAAATGGGGTCGACAAGACTGGTCTGTCACCTTTCGATTATTCCCTTGTTTTTGTAACCTCAACCCTCAGCAACTTCGGACTAAACCCCTTGCCCATCTCCCTCTCTCTTTCTCTCAGGGAAATCCGCCTTGCTACATGCACTGGCCAGCAGTGACGGAGTTCAGGTGCTCAACACTGACAACATCAAGCTGCTTCTGGAGAGGGGTACGGTAACTGATCCTAGGTTTAACCTTAGCCCTCCTATGCCCTGCTCACCTTTCACCTTTGGTCTCTAAAACACAGGATCTCACAACCAGTGACACAGTTACAGAAAAGCTTCACTGAGTGTGCAGACTGCAATGCCCTGACACTCTTGAAATACGAGTTATTGCTTCTTTAGGCAATGGAGTCAGTGAAGGAGCTGGACAGCTCTACTTTTATTTAAATTTAAAAATTTGCTCAGCTTATAATTCCAGTTAACATCAATCTCTCAGTGATCCTGCAGCTAAAGCACAAGGAGAGCAGAGAGCTGCAACGCAGCTTTTCCTGACAGCAATTCCCATGCAGGACAGGAACTTACCCCACAGGAGACAGGCAGCACAGGGATTGAGAAACCCCGGGGAGGGTGAGCGCCGCGCTGTCGGAGGGTGAGCGCCGCGGGAGCGCCGCGCTGTCAGAGGGTCAGCACATTTATTCCAATGTGAAGCCCCTCTCCTAAAGACCATGTGCTGCCTTTCAGGTGCGGATGTGAAGGCGAGTATGATGGACGGTGACAACATCTTCACGTTTATTATCTTTCTGCTGGGGGAGACGGAGGGTCGAGATGAGGAGGAGGCTGAGACCCTCAGAAACTTCTGCCTACAGACCACCAAGCTCTTACTCGCTCACTCTGCTGAACCTGACACCTGTCAGCCTGAGGATTCCCTCACCTATACCTGCATTGAGCAGTTTGAAGTTCACATTCCCCTTATCCAGCTTCTCTTGGAGGCTGGTGCAGGCAGCCACTGCCCTGAGCACGGTCCCAGCTGCTGGTCGGGGTTCAGCCTGCTGTTTGACAGGCTCGCTGTGTTATTGAATGGCCCGGAGTCTGTCCTGCCGCACTCTGAAGCTTTACGCCGGGCTGACCGAACCTTGGAGCTGATGCTGGGCAGCGTCTCTCAGCCCTGGCTCCCTCCAGGCTGGGAGATTCAACCCTCGGCCTACTCCAGCTACGCAGACCAGGTGATGTCACTGGCCAGGCCCCTGACACTGCGCCAGGGTTCTCCCGCCTCCCTGAAGCACCTGTGTAGGTTAGAGATCCGGCAGCAGCTGCGCCCTGTTCCTCTGGACACCAAGGTGAAGTCCTTACCCCTACCTGATCGCCTGAAGTGGTTCTTGTTGATGGAAAACAACAAAGCAGACGATGAGGAGCCAATGCAGCGTTAACCTCTAACAGCACCTTGTCATAATTTGAAGACTGACTGGACTCGAAGGTTGGAGATGCCTCTTTTTTTTAAATTGACTTTAAAACTGGGTCTGGAGAGGCTGCTGTTCGAAACACAACCCAATTTGACTGCTTGAACTCAATACCAGGCCCATGAACTCTCTCGTGGATCAGCTAGAAGTGGCACTCCTGTCCCCTGGTGTGTGTGTGTGTGTGTGTGTGAGAGAGAGAGAGCGAGAGCGGTTGTGCAAGTTCTGTCTGCAAGGTGTGAGGGTGACGTTTACCGGCTGTTGGTCACTGGAGGGAAGAGGGGGGAGGGGGAGTGGGATATGGGTGTATTGCTCTGGTTGGGGGGTGTTTGGTCTAGCTGGGCTCTGCCACTGTTGCCCAGTGACTGATTGGAACCTCAGCCTGAATGTGAGCCATGTGTGAATCTGAGCTGACCGTGGGGGGTGAGTTTAATCACAGGCCTGTCTGGGCAGGTCTGTGAGGAATGATTCCTGTCAAATTGCCAATTCCACTGTCTGTCTTGTGTGTCTCTCGTCACTGTTCAGATGATGGTGAACAGACAATGCATTCAGTTTTGAGAGGACAGCGCTCTGATCCCCCCTCAGTGGGTCCACACTGACACAGCAGCAGCAGGTACTGACAGAGTACTGTGTCCTCACAAACTGCTGCCGTTGGTTGAGACTTTAAGCCAAGGCGCCTGTCACCAGCACCTAATTCAAACGAGGGACTGGCCAAGGGAGAGAGAAGCTGGTGACTGAGTGAGAATAAGGACAGTTGTGTGGAATAGTGCAGCCTGACCACAGAGAGGCTGCCCTCGCTTTAACCTTTCAAATACTGACAAACACTCACCGTGCCTCCAGAGGACAAGCTACTCCTGGGTGACAGACTTGATTTGATTTCCCAACGCTGCTGCCTGCAGCTCAGCACATGGTTGTAAGGTCTGCTTGGTGTCTACAACACAACACAGACTCAGTGCCTCCAGAACACTGGCCATTCAGTGTTGTAGTAGGTGCTGCAGAGCCCTACAGGCACAGGACCCAGTGTTCAGTCCCCACTTGTGGGTGGGGTGGGTGGGGTGGGGGGGCGGAGGGAGGGGAGAGGTGTGTGTGTGATGTGGTGGTCGTCCCTGGTTAGGGCCGCGGAAGGTTGGTCAGCGTGCCTCTGCTATTGATGCTGACAGGGAGGCTTTATCTGTTTAGATTAGCCCAAGGTGTGCTGGCCTCAATAGCTGGTTATGGAGCACTAGCGAGGACAGTAAATGATGAATCATTATTACCTTCTTCAGCTTGAGGTAGAGAATCAAACAAAATATTTCGCTGAACAGGATTGATTGTTCAAACTGAAATGCAAAACTTAATTTGATTTTTACAGTTACACACCATTATTTACAATGAAAATTGTCCCGTTTGAAGATGAGACATTCAAATGGTCATGCAATTTTCCGTCAGGTCACTGAAGCTGGGAGGGCAAGGAAGCAACTTTTAGAAAATAAAACCTTTATTCTGCCCTTGGGCTGCTGTGATTCTTTCCCAAACAAGTGTACATGCATGCACACACACCGCGCCATACTGTCTCTCTCACGCACGCACCCCGCCGTACTGTCTCTCACACACACGCACGCACACACCCCGCCGTACTGTCTCTCACACACACGCACGCACACACCCCGCC